GGGAAGCCTTCTTGGAGAAAACGACGCCTAGGAGGACCCTTGAAGGGGAGCCAGGAATAAGCCGGGCAGGGATGACAGAGGAAGGTAGTCCATGATGAAGGCCTGAGGGTAGGCAGCCCGAATGGCTGAGTTGAGGACCTGGAAGGAGTTCTTTGGGGCCAGAACATAACTGAATTCATCTTCCTTTCTAAACCTTCTCAGATGGCAGTGTCTGACACACAGCTGCACCAAAACAGCTGTGGGCAGGGGGTGCAGATGTGGAAGTCATCAGCAAGTGGATGGTGGTAAAACGCCAAGAGCGCCTAAATCGGTCCATGCCAACCTCTAGAAGAGTGAGACCCAGGTGCAGTGGCTCACATCTGTAATCCCAGCACTTTGGGAGGCCAAGGTGGGAGGTTTGCTTGAGGCCAGGAGTTCAAGACCAGCCTGGGCAACATAGAGAGACTCCATGTCTACAAGAAATAATGGGAAAAAATGATCCGGCTGTGGGTGTAGTCCCAGCTACTCGGGAAGCTGAGACAGGAGGATCTCTTGAGCCCAGGAGTTTGAGGTTGCTGTGAGCTATGATGACACCACTGCACTACAGCCTGGATGACAGAGGAAGACCCTGTCTCTCCCCACACAGACACACACACAAAGTGAGGGTGGAAAACAGAACCCTAGCAAACACCATGAAAGGAATTTACAGCAAAGTTAACAAAGGTAAGCAACAGGGACAGTCAGAAGAGAGACATAACTGCCTGTCCTCAGTGACCAGGGCAGTCTTTGGTGTGTGTGGGCACTCAGGAAAGAGTCATGTGAATGAGTAAAGAAAAGGTGTCAAGAGCATGGTGCTCATCAACAACATGAAGCCCAAGCAGTTAAGGACTGGAAAATGCCCAAAAGAGTGGCAAATAAGAGGTCAGCTTGAGCACAGTGCAGACAGAAATCAGACTAGGTAGGGTTGAGCTCAAAATGGGGTCTCAAAAATGAACCCAGCAGGCCGGGCGCTGTGGCTCACGCCTGTAATCCTAGCTCTTGGGAGGCCGAGGCGGGCGGATTGCTCAAGGTCAGGAGTTCAAAACCAGCCTGAGCAAGAGCGAGACCCCGTCTCTACTATAAATAGAAAGAAATTAATTGGCCAACTGATATGTATATAAAAAATTAGCCGGGCATGGTGGCGCATGCCTGTAGTCCCAGCTACTCGGGAGGCTGAGGCAGAAGGATCACTCAAGCCCAGGAGTTTGAGGTTGCTGTGAGCTAGGCTGACGCCACGGCACTCACTCTAGCCTGGACAACAAAGCGAGACTCTGCCTCAAAAAAAAAAAAAAAAAAAATGAACCCAGCATGATACCAAGCCAAGAGTACTGGCTCCAAATCCTCACCCCACCCACTAACATATAATGAGCTCTGGGCCTCACAGTCTGACTTTTCCAAAACTACAGCCTCTAAAAAGTGTTCCCAATAGGCTGGGTATGGTGGCTTACACCTGTAATCCTAGCACTCTGGGAGGCTGAGGCAGGAGTATTACTTGAAGTCAGGAGTTCAAGACCAGCCTGAACAAGAGCAAGACCCTGGCTTTACTAAAAATAGAAAAAAATTAGCTGGGCGTGGTGGTGTGTGCCTGTAGTCCCAACTACTCGAGAGGCTGAGGCGAGAGGATCACTTGAGCCCAGGAGTTTGAGGTTGCAGTGAGCTATGATGATGACAACACTGCAGTCTAGCCAGAGCGACAAAGGGAGACTCTGTCTCAAAAAAAAAAAAAAAAAAAGCGTCCCCAACACACTTTTTGGCAGGGGTAAAGAACTTGTTTTTCAATAAATAAAAAAGCTGATTGAGACTCATAGTATGTCACTCGGCATTGATGGAAAATATTGCAACTTCATACTATATATGAAGGCTAGAACGTAATTCTACATTTCACAAGATATATTGAAACCACCTGAAGCCACTCCAGAATTCACTGACATTTTTCCTAGTATGTCGCTGTTCCCACATGCTATCATCCTTTGTCAATATCACAATGATTATATTTTTAAGTGGAAGTTATCCTTCATTTCACACAAACATTTTCTGGGGAGCATTTTCTTGTTCTTTTTTTTTTCCTTAGGAAAAAATCAGATAGGAGCAATCAGGGTGTCGCAAGTCCTGATTATGCAGAGACATATAATCATGTATCACGCAAACTCCAATCATCCTTTGCTAAACTGCCCTCCATAAGGAGGAACCGGTAAGGATTATCCCATCTGATGATGGGCGGGGGGTGCCATTTTCTATCTTCTTTGATCTTTTTGGACTACTATCTAATCCTTTTGAGTTGTGAGTTTTTAACTGCCATCTAAGGACACTGTCTTGATGCTTCTTCAGTTTGGAATTTGTTCTCATTTAATTGCCATTTTCCTGTCTAAACATTAGTTAGCATCCTGTGTCATCACAGACTGAATGGCTTTGGGACTCCTTCCTTTGATTCAGTAGTTCTTGGTGCTCATTACTCTGCCCAGCTCATCTTGCATTCCTGTCCACAAAGTTCAGAGTTAAAAGGGACAGCTTGACATTGGCAGCTCTTAATAGATGGATGCCATGAGCATACACCTATGCCAGAGCACATGGGGAGGCTGCTGAACCCCTAGTGGGCCTTGTCACTTTGGGGAAGTTTTCCATTTTCACATTCACCAAGCAGCTTGAGCTGCAGACCAAGGAGGAAAGAAACAGCTGAGAGCAATTACAAATGATGTTGGTGCTGGATGTGAGGGCGATCTGGCTGCAACATCTGTCACCCCATTGATCTGGCTGGCTAGGCAGGTGTCCCCTTCCTCTCTCACTGCTCCTTGTGCGTCCTTCCCAAAGCTGCAAGCTCATTCGAAGAGGACGACTTTCCCCAATAGATGAGGACCATTCTTCTAGTAGCTGCGTTCTTCGAGCAGCTGCATTCCCCTGCTACAATCTCCCAACAAGCTCACAAATGATGTTGGTGCCATTAAGCAGCACTCTCAATAAAGGTAGAAACAGCGCTCAAATTACCTTCATGTCTTCTCTGACCTTCCTAGCCACAAAATGCAGCTTTCTACAGTTTGAATAAATTTGCTGGGGTGGCCCTTTTCTTAAACATTTTGGGTTTTTTAAGAGATGCTTTTTGTAGAATGTTTTGGGTTTTAAACTAAGACATTAAATGGCCATTGATCTCAAGTCTACCCAAAAGCTCTGTCTGGAATAGCTTGCAATGATGTTCTTCCTTAAGTTTTTCATAAGTGTTTGTTGTCCTCAACAGTTTTCTAAGTCATTATAAGTCTAAAACATTCTAAGACAGTGGTTCTCAACCCTGGTCTTAGTCTCAGGACCACTTTGTTTTTTTGTTTTGTTTTGTTTGGTTTTTGAGATAGAGTCTCACTTTGTTGCCCAGGCTAGAGTGAGTGCCGTGGCGTCAGTCTAGCTCACAGCAACATCAAACTCCTGGTCTCAAGAGATCCTACTGCCTCAGCCTCCCGAGTAGCTGGGACTACAGGTATGCACCACCATCCCCGGCTAATTTTTTCTATATATATTAGTTGGCCAATTAATTCTTTCTATTTATAGTAGGAGAGAGGGTCTCGCTCTGCTCAGGGCTGGTTTCGAACTCCTGACCTCCAGCAATCCACCCGCCTCGGCCTCCCAGAGTGCTAGGATTACAGGCGTGAGCCACCGCACCCAGCCCTCAGGACCACTTTACACTCTTGAAATCCAGGTGCCAGTGGCTTGCACCTGTAGTCCCGGGGGCTGAGACACTAGGATAGATTGAGCCCAAGAGTTGAAGGCCAGCCTGGGCAACATAGCAAGACCCTTGACTCTAAAGAAAAAAAAAACTTTCTAAATATTGAAGACTCTAAAGAGCTTTTGTTTATATGGGTTATATCTACTTAATTAGAGATGACAACTAATAAATGTTTTATTTAATTATTCATTTTAAAATGACAGCAATAAACCTATTTGATGTTGAAGAGCTTATTTTCCTGAAAAGTCACTGTATTTTCCAAAAAAATTTGTGTGAGAAGAGTGACACTATCATTACATTTTTGAAAATTTCTTAATTTCTGGCTTAATGGAAGACAGCTGGATTCTTAAATCTGTTCCTGTATTCATTCTGTTGTGACATCACAAGACACATAGCTTCTGGAAAACTCCATTATACTCTCGTGAGATAATCCTAGTGAAAAAGACAAATAATATCTTAACATTCTGATAAAAATAATTTTGACCCCCCCCCAGGGGCCTTGGAAACCTCCAAACCACATTTGGAGAACTGCTATGCTAAGGTGGCGAGCTTTTCAAGTTTTGAATGCAGCTTCATCTGATCCGAAGCTTTCTTCCCTTTGAAGCAGGACCACGTTCATTGCTCTTCATTCCTTCCTGCATCCCTGTCTTTCCATCTGAGCTCCTTTTCCTTCTGTCTGAATAATGAACATATTTCTTTTTCTGTAGATTATTCCTTCATTCTTAGTTTGTCCAAAGTTGTCTTTATTTCACCTTCTTTACTTAATGACAATTTCCCTATGTATAGAATTCTCGATCGGCAGTTATTTTCTTTGAGATTTTCTCTGTCTTTAGTTTTCTGTGGTTTTATTGTGAGGTTTCAAGGTGTGGATTTATTTTCATTTATCTGCCTGTTTAGTTTCTATAAGGCTTTTTGAATCTTTGGGGGGGGTTTTTAATCACTTTATGAAAATTATTATCCAGCTATTATCTCTTCAAATATTTCTGCCACACCTCTCTGTCCTTTTTAAGACTCCATTACCAATTCGATGGACTTTCTTGCTATATCCTTCTATGCTTCTGAATGGTTTTTCTAAACTATCTTGCAATTTGTTAATTCTTTAACTGTCTATCTTCCGCCAAACCCATCTAGTTTTTATTTGGCTACTTTTAAATCAGCTAAGTGGTTTTGTTCTTTACGATTTCTACTTTTCTGCTGAAATTTTCAAACTTTTTTATTTCCTTAAACATAGTAAGCATGGTAATTTTTAAAGACTGTGTCTGTTAGGTCCATGTCTGGAGACCCTGTGAAGTTTTATATTGTCCGTCGAGAAGAATTAATATGCACAGAATAGACGCATAAAAATATGCAGAGCAAAAAGGTTGACAATACAAAGGGAAATGGCAAGACATAGAACTGAGAGGGGAGACTTGACTTCTCTGCTTTTAACATACTGAGGAAAGAGGGTCATCACTTCTTTTTTGACCAACCTGTTCGGTTTGCCTAGAACTTGCCGGGTTTCAGTTTTGGAAGTCCCAAATCCCGGAAAACCCTTCGGTCCGGCAACAATCTGGACCGGGAGGCGCCCTATTGTGACACACACACACACCCGGCCTCAGGGGCACCCCCAGCCCCTTCCCTGTGTTGCCCCGCCTTCAGCTCCTGGGCCAACATTGTTGCCTGCGGCACCAGGACGGTCGCCGGGGGCGCTGTGGCGCACAGGCGCAGCCTGGGAGGCTCTCTGGCCTTGGGGCGTCGCTGTTCCTTCCGCCTTCCCGGCAGGCCCCGCGCCGCGCCTGCGCACGCTGTGACCTTTCCGGACATTGGCCGTGGGTCTGTGCTACGGCCCGAGCCGTTGGTCCCGCGCCGAGGTAAGTGCGGGGACCCGTCCAGGTTGCGGGGATCCGGGCAGCCAGGACCGTAGAGGGAGAAGGACGGTGAGCGGCGGGGGCCGCGGGGCTTAGGCCTCCTTGACCCCCGCTGACCTTGGTCGGGGTCCAACCCCTCCGCCAGCACACGCCTGCTTTCTGCCTGGCCTCCGTGCTGCAAGGGGGAGGCGGTGCAGGGCCAGCTACTGGTGGGAAGTGTTGCCTAGGCCCACCTTACGCTTTTCTCCTTGGCTTTAACTCATCTAATGCACCTGTGTTACCTACCGTACGCTTTTGACTAGGGGGGGTACAGTGGCCTGGAGAGGTTACGCAGCTAGTGATGGAGCTAGAATCCAAGCCAAGAATTCTCATCCCTGGTGCCGTCTCTCCCTTACATGTTATGTTTCCTTGCAACGCTTACCCTCCAAGTTACACTGTACATATGACAAGGCCTTGCGGGAGGCGAAAGGGGAACAAAGCGGGATCAAATGGTGACGATCAAAATTGTATGGAACTCAGATTAAATCCCAGTTTGTGGCTTAACCGGTCAGACATTTCCCATTTCCAGTGTGAGTTTTGGTAGTGGTCTGTTGTTAATTTAATGTGCCAAAACCTTGAAAACTTAAAGGAATACATCACTCACCCATTTGACCTTCAGATAGGATGGGCTTTTAAAGGATCTGGTACTGTAAAACTGACACAGCTGGGAAATGTAGCTGGACAGAATGGACTCAGGTGGAAGAAGTAGGGGCCCTCATTTTGTTAAATATTGGGAACGTGTCACTTTCCAGCCAAATATGACAACTCTAGCCAAAAGGAAAGTCAAGGAAAAAGGGAGAGAAAGAAGTATTTGCGATATACTGTATAGCAGCCCCCTACTTTAGTGGGGACCAAAGGTAATTTTAGGTAAAGAGACAATCTCAGGGCACTGGGCCAGAAGCACAGTATCATGATAACTCATGTTTCTTTGGTCCCTTTTACGGCCTTTGCACCCTCGTGGTTTACTTCGCCCTTTTGAAGATCTCCTCATAGAATCCCAGTGGCTTAGTGTTATTATCAGCAGCTGGGCATTTGTAGCAGCAGTTCTTTCTGTTACTGCTGTGGTGGTTTAGCTGAATTCTTACTTGGCAGTGTTACTGCAGCCGAAGCATTTTCCAAGTAAAACAAGAGGTGCCTAGATCTAGTCATTTCTGTCAACTAGTTGAATAACTAGTTTAATGGACTACTTCAGACATAACAAAGCTTCTTGAAATAAAGATGAGGGCATCTAATTTGGGGTCTGTGTTAAATTGTAAAAATAACCAAAAGTGTTATTTTGAGACCTGCACATAAAAGCAAACTAAGTTCACAATTTAATGGCCTTTCCCAGTCAAAACAGTAGTTCAATAATTATTTATTAAAAAAGTTCTGTCATAATTGGCAGCTCTTAGAATTGACCACATCTTACGCCATCTGTTTTTGTATGTAGCAGTAGACGTCAAGACTGAGACACAGGTGATCAAAGTATGCCAACCGCAGAGGTTTGTTTCACAAGGAGATCACCATGTTCTTTTTTTCAGCTTTGAACGCCAACAGTTTTTAACGTGATGATGAGAACATACTATTGTTTCCAGTTAGAAGTTAAAATAGTGGTGTGCATTTGGGGGCAGAGCATTAGTGGAGGATAGCCTCAGGGAGGGAGAATAGGCTAGATGAACTCTGGGGCATTGGGGCTGAGCGAAGACTAGGACCCCCATGTTCCGAGTGGGGCTAGGTGTGCTCGAACAGGGGCTAGGTGGGCTAGCACAGGTGAGGCTCCCTGCTGGGTGATAAAGGAACATAAGATTGAACTTAAAAAATGAAAATCTTTCACCAGTTAAGTTTAGGTTGTCATAATTTTTATTACTGCATTCACTTTCAGATGCTTCAAAGCATTATTAAAAATGTGTGGATCCCCATGAAACCCTACTATACCCAAGTTTACCAGGAGATCTGGATTGGAATGGGCTTGATGGGCTTCATTGTTTATAAAATCAGGAGTGCAGGTGAGTTTCTTTATGTTTGATTCGTTTGTGGTCATGAAGAAAACATTTTCAAAAAGAATTGCAATTCACATTATAAAGGAGCTATGGTAACTAGCCATGAACTTCAGAACCATCTACAGTACTTTGTAAAAGTACAGGGAGCACATATCAGCCACAAAAGGCATTTGAGGACAGTTGGAGAAATTTGAACAAGAGTTTGGTATCAGGGAATTGTGAATTTTCTTTTAAATGTGATAGTTATATTACAAATACATAGAAGATGTCCTTAATTTTTTAAGAGATGACAGCTCAAATGTTTAGGAGTATAGTGGCATAGTATATGGTGTTTTATTGTACCTTTTCAACAGTTCTGAATATTTGAAATTTTTTCATAATAAAATTTGGAGGGGAAGATTGACAATTTAGTTCTCAGTAGAGCAGAGATAAGGCCCAGTTACATATTACTAAGCTATTGATTAAAAAGAGGAAAGAAAGAAGAAAACTTTAAACTGCAAGGCTAGAGTTTAGGATATAATAGGGAGTAATAAGCCCTGCGAATTTGGAAGCAGTCTTAGTTGTGCATACAGCATCTTGGGAGAAATGTTACCACTTCTTTGCTATGAGACTGCTGCCATAACTGTCCTGTTTTCTGAAAGCTTCCTGTAATTGCTTTACCTAAGCTATGAAGCCATCAGCCAGATGTTCATTTTGGTAAAGCATTGTTATGACCAAATTTTTTCTTCTTTTTTTTTTTTTTTTTAGATAAAAGAAGTAAAGCTTTGAAAGGTAAGATTTTTGCTTCGTAAAATGGTTAGGGAATGAAAAACACCATCATATCTTTTTGGAACAAGGTATATCATTGTTCTGAATTGAAATTGATACATGGTTCAGTAAATATATAAGATGTAATGGAAACGCTTCAGAACATGAAGTTTGCTATGCCTACTGGAAAAGAGAATTCTGAATTTCTGCTTTTTATAGTCTAAATGTTAAAAACTATTGCTCACCCTTTTGGGTCAAGTAAAACTTCCAAGAAAAATGGATTGATTAATCAGAGATAGCTTATGCCACCAGTAGGGAAGCACAAGTTAAGTGTGCAAACATGCTGTCCTATAAAATTCCCTAATGGCATATTCTTAATGTGTTTTGAAGGAAAGCACCTTGCAAATTTATGCCTTAGAGCTAGACACTTTATCACTTTGTTTCATCAGTAACAATGAAACTTTAGTCATGTGAGTCTTACACAAACGCAGGACTGGCTTCCTGAGCTTTGAAGAAGAGACATTGCCCTGCCGCTCTCACCTTTGCCCCTGCAGGTGAGCTGCTGCATTCATGCCGACGTTACACAAGCCCTTAAACATACTGGGTGTTCTCTATAGAAATAATCATCCTTGCTTTTTGATAGTATTGAAAAATGTCATTTATACCTTTTGACTTGTTAATACTTAATAAACTACACTCTCTTTGCTCCTTCCTAAAATGTATCTATATCATACATCTCTTTCAAAAGCTCCCGCACCTGCTCGTGGTCATCACTAACCAGCCTCACTGGGAGTGCACAAGAGCGGGGACGCCAGTCTGCCTGTGGATCTCGGCAAGCTGTGTTAGATGGGAACACGGAGCGTCCCTGTGCACTTGTATAAGTGCCGTCTACTTTGGCATGAATAAATGTCTCTGAGATGCACCACACCCGGGACTGCGTTCAGTGTGCCCCCGCTCAGCTCCCTCCTGTGTGCCAGGCTTACTCTGAGTAGATCATTTGTAATGCAGGTGAATTTCAGATGAAATCAGAATCTTACTGAGCTGTTCATGGTTAGAAGCCAGAGGAACCGAAGGGTAAATATCTCAATTGTCACCAAAGTTGGTGATCAGGATCTAGAAGCTCACATTCTGCTGCTCAATAAATGTTAAGCATGATTCTGCTATTTGTGACCTGAGCCTCTGCTTTCTCACTTGGAAAATGGAGGTGTTAATTATGTAAGTTCCAATTTAGAGTGAGGATCAACAGAAGGGATGGGAAAGCATTTTATTTATTTCACTTTTTTCTTGTCCCATGAAATTCGCTTGTTGTTGGCTGTGGACTCACAATGAGGAGCACCAGGAGGGCGTCTGCCACTCCTCCATGCATGCAGGTAGATCTGGTTCACTCTGCTGCGTCCCCCACGTGAGTACTCACACTCACAGGCCACATCTGCTGCCCATTCATTTCTCCCGCCCACTGAGATGTTGTATATTCACAAAACTAAATATCCTGCTCACCAGCCCCATTAGTTTTTCAAATACTAAGGGAAAGACACTTCAGAACTCCCTCTCTAAAAAATGATCTTTTCCAAAGCATTATTAAGTACTCTGTACTAAAACTAGCTTAACATCAGCTTTCAGACTTTAGAACAGGGGTCCTCAAACTTTTTAAACAGGGGACCAGTTCACTGTCCCTCAGACCGTTGGAGGGCCGGACTATAGTTTAAAAAAAACTATGAGTAAATTCTTATGCACATCTCTTATTTTGAAGTAAAAAAACAAATGGGCAAAAACACCCACATGTGGCCCTCGGGGCCGTAGTTTGAGGACTTTAGAACTTCTCAATGTCTACTTGAGTCAAACATCCTTCTGGGTCATCACTACAGTTCCATGAGGTAAATATTAATATACCCCATGACCCGCACGTTCCACAAATGAACTTTTCCCACCTCTCTGCCATGTCATTAGCTTCCAAACCTGTTATTGCCTCCTACCTCTGCTGTATATTCATCTTGGTCATGGAACGTATATATGGCCCATAAACAATTAGGTGTCAATACAAAAGAAACCTTGGTCAAAGGCCCTTATAGAATCCTAATCTCTAGATCGATGTTGAGGAAAAGCATTATTTAAACTGAAATGCTATAGGAATAAGGTAGCATTAGAGCATGTGGTAAGTGAAAATAAGCTCTACGAGAAAATTTTATCAGTAATCACTTCTAAGGCAAAGTGTATGTTGTAAAAAAAAAAAAGCTTATTGATATTTCTTCTAGTTAAGCTAATATCAAATGAACAGTAATATTTAGCTCCATCTAAGGCAATTACCAAAATCTCTAGAATTAGGTGCTAAAAAGACTAAAGCAGTAAGCAAGCATAGCGGTAAATCCGGTTTGAAACCTGGTGCTTGCAGTTTAGTGGGAGTCCAGCTATGGAACAGAATTATCAGCCCGATGCTAGGTATCCTGTCCTCTTACACGCAGAGGCACCTGTTCTTCATCCGTGTCTGCAGCAATTAGCGTGGAGTCTGGCCCATGGGAGGTGCCTGACAAACGACTGCTACTTGCTGTGAGGTCTGTCTGAGCTTCATTTCGTTTTGCAAGATGGAGATTAGCCCACTTTGTGTACCTCACCAGCAGCCTGGGGCCGTTGGACACAGTGGGAAGTTTGCATGAAAGCCTTAGCAGCGGTGGAAGTCATTGTTGGATCGTGTGAGATTCAGAGTGTTTAGTTCTGACACAGTAATCACTTTTTTTTTTTAAGAGAGAGGGTCTCACTGTATCACCCAAGCTGGGGTGCAGTGGTGTCATCATAGCTCACTGCAGCCTCAAATTCCTGAGCTCAAGCAATCCTCCCACCTCTGCCTCTCAAGTAGCTGGGACTACAGGTGTGCACCACCACACCCGGCTAGATTTTTTATTTTTTATAGAGACAGGGTCTCACTATGTTGCTCAGGCTGGTCTCCCAAGTCATTGGGATTACAAGCGTCAGCCACCATCCCTGGCCACATTTATTTTCTCTGTTACACATTTTGTTCTGCCTGCGGAGGATGAATCAGCGCTGTGGTACAGAAAGGCTCAAAATCTTTAATCTGCACCAGCTGTTCTCAAGCTTGAGTGTACATTATAATCACCTGGAAGGCTGTTGGCACAGACTGTTGGGCCCCAGCGTTTCTGATTCCATTGGTCTGGGAAGGTGCCTGAGAACCTGTACATTTAACAAGCTCTCAAAACATGCTGATGCCCAGGAAAATTGCTGATAATACAAAAGGACAGGCACCCAACCTTGCCTTGACACCCACCGTAGCCCCTAGGTCCGCTGCATCAAAGCTGCCATTCTGTGGGTACCGAAGCCTCCAGCCCTGTGCTAGCATCTCAGTGCGTTCTGTCCTTGGGACCCAATGAGGCAGCCATGCAGTCCCTGCTCTACAGAAGAGGAACTGAGGCTAGAAGTGGTGATGTGGCAGAGTTGTCACAGCTAGCAAGTGCTGGGGTCTGGACTTGGACTCTGGGAGTCTGAACTCATCCAGAGAGGGAGGTGAGGACAGAAGGGCACTGGCCGTGAAGCAGGTAGAAGGGTTGGTGTCTGCCCCAGGAGTGCTTGCCAACAGGGCAGGGCTGTTCCTCTTCTTCCACTACCTAGGGGTTCCTCCGACTAATATCATCAGAGTGAATAAAAATTCTCTCATAAAAAATGTGACCCCGCCATGGACCAGCTGCCCCTACCACATCTTGTGCAGCCAGATGAGAGACCATTAGAAGTGTATTTCCTGTCCCCAGCCCACTTCACATTCTGAATTCCTCAGGGTTTGGGAAACAACTGGGTCAGCTACTGAAGGCGGCCTGTAGGTGGAGTCAGAGTTTGCCGCCAGGAGATTGTCACCTGCGGCTTCCCTGTGGACAGGGAGCACTGGCAAGTACTGGTGGCAGGGGAGTTTGAAGGCACGGTCAGAGGGCAGTGCCAATGGGTAAAGGATAGGCACAGAGCTAAGGAAGCAGAGGGTACCTCAGCCTCACCCACTGAGGAAGGAACAGCCAGTTTCAGGAAGGAATTCCAAAGACGATTTTTGTCCTGAAACCCACACATTCATCCCACTCTTACTCAAGGCACTGCTTTTCAAAATGTGCCGCAGAGGAACCCTAAAGGTGGGGGGAAGAGGACATGCGTCCCAGGCATCTGATGATGAGTTTTAACCACTTCGGTACGAGCATCGACTATAGTCGACAGCTACAGATGAACGTGCACAGCAACTTTAGCCGACAGCCGTGGTACGACTTTTCTCATTTTTCATTTATCAAAATAAAATGGTGAACATTTAAAAATAACGTAATGAAAACATATATGTATATGTTACCTGTTCTGATTTTCATTACAAGTAAAGCTGCCTGTAAAGTAAAATGAGTTTTCAGTGCTTTCAAGCTTCCCTCATCACACAACAGCAAAACGGATTCGTCGTCAATGCGCAGCACACGCTGTCGTGCGGACTGAGTGCCAGCTGCGGGCAAGGCTTCGCGGCTGGTGAGCGCCCTACCGCAGTGGTTAAGCAGTGTGCTTTAACCCGGTCTCCGGCGAGCCTCTGGCCGGAGGCTTCATGTTCCTTCTGGATTGTCACTGTATGTTCCAGGGGCTCATGGACCCTATCAGAGACCCTGATGGGTGTGGCTCCTGCTGCCCTCGGGGGAATTGTGCCTCCAGAGCTAACAGCTACTGAGTACCTAAGGGCTGGACTGCCATCTCACTGTCATCCCGCCTTTAACTCATTCAAACCGCACAACGCCCTGTGAGCTCATACTGTCACCCCATTTGACAGCTAAAGAAATAGAGGCCCAGACAGTATAATTAGCTTGCCGTAGAGGATAACTACCTGGTTACTAAACCAGGTAGTTAACTGATAGACCAGGATTCAAAATCTGACCATCTGGCTTTGGAATCAGGACGTGGACCACAGCCTGGCTTCAGATGGCTGCTTCAGGTATGCTGGGCCACCTGTGCCTGTTGAGGGCACAGTGACGATTAGCATGCAGTCCCTTTACTCTGGAAGCCTAGAGGCTAGAGAACAGCCATGTGAACACATGATGACAGTACTTTGCAGAACGCACAGCTGTGGCTGTCTGTGCCACTACAGACGGTCACAAGAGGGCAGAGTGTCAGGCCTCACCACACACGCGGCCATTAGTCAAAAGCCTGGCACCTGCTCCACAGCTGCTCTGCCGCGTGGGCCTGGCTTAGGTCCTTCAGACAAACCAGCCGGGAAAAGGCATTTCTGGTATATTTAGGGAAATGTGAACGTGGACTGGGTGTTAAGCGATATCAAAGAATTAATGTTACAGGGTTATTCATTACCATGACAGTGTGGTTATTGAAGAAAATGTCTTTGGTTTTAGAAACGCAGATGCGATTATGTAGGTGTGAAGTGATGTCTAGGATGCACTTTAAAATGCATCAACAGATACTACCGGTCAAAATAGATGGGGGGCTGCAGTGAATAGATGAGATTGGCCCTGTACACCATGGCCAGTCTCTTCCCTGAGGGGTGCATCACACGCTTCTTTCTTCCTTGGTGCATTCTAACTTCTCCCAATAAAGTTTTTTAAAATGCTGGCAAAAAATGTAAAAGACCAGCCATGCAGCTGAAGCCTTTGCCAGTATTATAACCCCTGATTGAGAAACCGCCACTGTGCAGCCAGGAAATGGAGGTGACTGCAGACTTGCAGTCATCCTGCCAGACACCTCACC